GTTGTGCTAATAAAGATTGAATGTAAAGCACATTTCCAGTTTATTATCACTGTGCTTTAATTATGGGCTCATTAAGTTAGATTGATCAGGGTTTCAAAGATCTTGTCCTTTCATGATCATGCTTTTATTTACAAGACATGTTACTTTAGGTGCTCTGTGACTCTTTTTTCAATCCAATGATTGGCATGGTTATTGTTTTTCACTTTGCTTTTTAATAGGACATTCAGTGGGAGAAGAATATCCAGTAGGTCATTTGATAATATCCAGATTTTTAAAGAATTTACAGAGTTTCAAACCAACATTGAAGAAAGTAGTTTTGCTGTGTAGACCAGAGATGCTTACCTGAAATCCTGGAACCAGTTTGAGGCCTGGATGGTGATTATGCAAACCACACAAGACTGATATCTATTAAAGGCTTCTTTTTATGCACTTTCATCACGGGGTGTCTGCGCCCTACACCACTGGAGAAACTACACTGTCTAGCTGGTATTGCACCACCTGACACCTGCTGGGAAGTAGCAGCCAATAGTGAAAGGACCAAGGCAGTGACATCTCCAGCTCATCCCTTGTTTGAGTATCAGCCAGCATGTCAATGACTTAAATCAAGAAATAGTTTTCTAAGATCTACAGAGACACTCGCTGGAACATCTCAGCAAGCGAGAGTCCAAAAGTGGCAGGCTCAAACCCAGAATTTCAATCAATGGCTGATACCAAATGAGAGACTCCCCCTGGGCACACAGAAAACTGGGCGACTTGGAAGGCGCTGAACAGACTGTGCTCTGGCACCACGAGATGCAGAGCCAATCTTAAGAAATGGGGCTACAAAGTGGAATCCACAATATGCGAGTGTGGAGAGGAGCAAACCACTGACCACCTGCTGCAATGCAACCTGAGCCCTGCTACATGCACAATGGAGGACCTCCTTGCGGCAACACCGGAAGCACTCCAAGTGGCCAGCTACTGGTCAACTGATATTTAATAAACTACCAAGCTTGCAAACTTTGTGTTTTGTCTGTTTGTTTGTTTTGTTAAAAATATAATACAAATGTCTGGTTGCTCCTGACACGATAAATATATGCACTTTCATGGGAATTTGTTGTGTGCCACTGCAGTCAATGTAGATGATAAATTATCAGTGTAAATGGGACCAATGAGAACAGTAGTGCAACTCTTGTGAAAAGATATTCCACTTCTATTATTGGAGTTAATATTTAGCTTTTGTGACTTGAAACCATTGTTCTTATTCTCCAGGAATTAATCTCATCCCCTCTAAAAGCTGTGCAAGCTGGTAGTAATAACTACATCTGGTCACAAATCTCATAATTAAATTACGTGTTTTTCAAATGAGTGTTTTCACTTATCTGGAAGTAATCTTGGTAAATCTTAATCTTACAGACATGCATCTGAATATAGTGTTAATGTGAACATTTCACCCTTGATTTAGGTCTTCTAAAAGTATTACAGTACTCCACAAAGTTCACAACTGGCACATTATAGTAGGCAATCTAACGAAACATAAAGCAGACTCTTAAATGTGTCCTATATTTCTATCTAATCATTTTTCCAATTTTACTTACTAATAGAGCATAATGTGGTATTTCTTCTTTCACATTTTTCTCCCATAGACGTTTCTGGCTTTAGTGAAAAAATAAACATTTTAATGAAATTAATGTTGTCTTTGGAATGTGTATGAATTTATCCATTAAACGACCATTTTTAATATTAACCTTATGGAGAAACTTCTTATATCTTTTTATTTATTTAGTACTTTTAATTTAACTGAATTAATTTGCTCCATACCTTAATGCATTTTCCTTCTTTTTACCAGAGTTCTACAAGTGAAGAAATTGAAGAAAAATAATATTACTTTTACCAGGCTTTTTTTAAAAGAATACCCATATTGAACTGTTAATGAATGGAATTAATTGGTTAGTTTAAAGGATAAATGAAGAGTAACTTCATGTTTGGGAAGAGCTGCATCTTTGTTAATTACACTTACCAAATCAAAGGTAACAGATAAGTTTAAGGACTTTATCACATCAACACACTATTCTGTTGCAATCCCATTATCATAGATAGCATGATGTTTTGGTGCCTCAATGTTAGATGTGTTTCTGGGTAAATTTGAGCTACTGATTCCAAAAATGGTATGCGTTTTTCCCTATATCAGCTCTAGTTTTGAGATACAAAACATAGGCCATATATCAGTCTTCATCTGCTCATACACATAAAATTATGATAACCATATCTAAGAAACTAGAACTAATGTCCAATGCAATTTTCTATATCAGCTCCCCAAATAATCCCAAGAACAGGCCTAAAAACCAGGGTAACAAGAACTTTTGCTGTTGCTGTTTTGCTGGGTAATAGATACACACCGAGTATATTACCTTTGAAGTCACAGCTCTCTTCAATAGCATAATTACACTGATTTGCCATTTGGTAGTCCCATGACCCCAACTTTCTGCACAACTTTCAGTTTTAATGTCTTATTCTTTTTCTTGAAATTGCAGAATTTCTGTACTCAAAACTAAAAAGGAGGCAAATACATTATCAAATAAAAGGAAAACAGCCAGCTTGCAAAGCCTATCAATTCAAGCCTGCACACTAACTTCTTGTATTCCAAGAAAAGCTATACATTGCTCTATTGCATCATACTTAGGAATGATTTCAGGAACTTTCGTCTTCTTGACAGCACAGCCAGGTATATAAGTATGGTACCCTGGGCAGATCTAGACAGCACCTTTATTGTGGAAACTTCGACAATAAAAAGAGGCCTGTCCAGACAACATTCTGGGCAAACCAGAATTAATTCATCACAAACCAGGAAAACCCTGGTTTGTGGCAAATTAGTTTGATAGTGGGTTTATTCCATGTCTTCTTGGAAGGCACAAGATAAACCCACTACTTCCGGTGTCTGTACTACAGAATATTGCAGTCCAGACAGTATTCCCACAGTTTTCTGGGCTAAATTAGCCCATAAAACTGTGGGAATATCCACCCCCTCCTCCAAAGTCCTAAAGAAACTACTTTTTAAAAGAAAAGTACTTACTGGGCCTTAATTGCAATGCTGCCACAGGTCTCCTGGCACACAGAAATTATGTGCAAGGAGAAATCGCGGGGGGGGGGGGGGGGAGAAAAGTCACTCCTGCAGCTCTGCAATGGAGGCCCAATAAGTACTTTTCTTTTTAAAAGGGGTTTTTAGGGCTTTTGGGGAGGGGGTAGAGTGTCCTAATGTCTTCCCGGGACAGTCCCAGAAGGACATCTGGATGCCCACCCCAGAAAGCGTGTGCTTTCTGGAGTGAGTGTGGACAGGGCCCCTGGAAGATCTGAGTTTCTTTGAACACATATACTCCTGGGATAAAGCCCTGTCTAGAAAGGCCCTCTGTGAGAAATTTCCAACGTTTTTACATTTCAAAGTTCCTTTGAAATTATTATAGACATTCACACTAAATAAAATCCAAAATGCATCTCCAATTTTGTCTTCAGGAAAACTTAGTGGCCACAAAAATGTGAGACCCCCCCCCCCTTCCACCAACATATTTCATTGATGTCATTGAAATTCTTTGACCTCTCAAAATCTGCTTCACAAGGACATCCCCAAATCACTTCAAGTTTTACCTTTGACAAATTTAGTAGGAAGTCTCAACGGAAATTATCACATTGATCAAAGCTTTGATAGGAGAACAGAGTAGGTAATATTATGTGTAACAGAGCCAGTGAAGAATATTTCTTGACTGGGACTAAAGTTGCTACAGTCAAGTATAAATACCAATTAAAATATCACATGGACTTGAAACAAGCTTGTATCACTTTATCAATCTTTGCAAGAGCATACAGTTTCATCAGCCAATCTTTTTGTAGTGAAATAGCCATATCCTTCTACCTCTGGACATGAAAAGTTAACCAAATACTGGAAGATTGTTCCGTGTTATTCCTCCATCTGTTCATCCATCAATCCCAATAAAATAGTTCTTCTCTCAATTGAAATTCTAATTTTAAATGTCCTTCATTTAGCAGAGTATCTGAATCCAATATTTCTTTCTCCTTAGCACATGTCTACTAAATATGATAAAAACTTCTCTATTTTTGATCACACTATTTGAATCTTTATGCATCTTAGACAATGCACTTATATAATTGATTTGTAAACATGGAGTTTTTAAAATATAACCATAGACCTATTTCCTTGGGAATAAGCCTCTTAAAAATCAGTGAGATTTATTTTCAAGTAGACAAGCATAGTTTTTCATTATAAATTATGATGACAAAAAATAAATCTAGGTTTGCCAATGTTTCTCAGCTCAGTGTTTTATAGTGTGTACATATATCATACACTCAAGTGTCTCAGACATACCTTCTGTGCTACGTTGGAAAATAGCAGATATAAAGATTATGTACAGTCTTGGCAGGTAATACTACAAATGGGTAGGTGGTCTTTTTTTAAGGTTCCCAGATCATTTTCTGCCTCCTCAGGATTTTTAAAATATTAGCTGACATTAAATTTTATTTAGCTGTAATAAAGATTGTTTTTGTCTGTGTACACCTGATGAGTAGAGGCTGAACTCCCCAGTCCATTTGGGCTAAGAAGTCAGTGCTGGTCTTTGCTTCCAGGGCATAAAGATACTAGGATAACATGGGTGGCATTAGAATTTACAAGGTGATGGAGGGATGGCAATTCTTATTGGGCAAAAGGTGTATTGCTGATCCTACTCTAAGAAGGAATGAGGTGGGGGTGGAGGCAAAAATGACATTTGGACTTTGTAATCTATGCCCAATTTGTGTGTTGTATAATTTTCTTTGGTTTTGGGGTCTACTCCAGCTCCTCTGATGTCAGACAGATTGTTGTAGTGGAGTGTGCTGGTCAAGCTACAACTGGTAGTAGAAGGGGTAAGAGGGCTGCTCAGGTGTTGGGGCAAGAGCAGCAAAGGAAACGAATTAGGGAGATATTCATGACACCTACAGATACTGATTTGTTTGAAGGTTTCTCAGATTCTGAAATGGAGGAGGAGGGAGATGTGGGCAGAGGCTTGAAGGGGGGTACTCGGGAGCAAGAGTCAGATGAGGAACAAGAAAGGAAGTGGATCCGTGAAATACTTAATGCTCCAACTGAGGAGGAAGACTTTATGGGATTCTTGGGGAATGATGTGACTGGGAGTGATAACGAAGAAGAGGATGGGTTAGACTGGACCCGTGTACAAGAGATTAGGGACATATGTAATAAACCAACATCTAGTGAGGAATTTGAAGGGTTTTCTGGAGATTGGCAACCTGGTAATACATGGGGTGATCTAAGTCTTGACAGACGCTGGAAAAGTTGGAGGGATGGGCGGTGGCGAGCAGCTGTGGAAGCCAAGGCAGCTGAGAGTGATGAAGACAGGGTGGAGAGCAGTTCATCATCCGATAATGAGTTATAGGATAAAAGAAGGTATCAAACATTGGGAACTTTGCAGTAGGCAAAGTGTTGTATTTGTTGCTGCCATTACTCTTGACTTGGGTCCTGGGACTGCAGATTGCTGTGTTACCATGCTTCTACAGACTGGAATCTCTTAAGTGCTGACTTCAACTCCCATTTTGACTTCAGATTGTTTTTGGACGACGACATCGCTTCCTGGACTTTATCTTCTACTTCTGGACGTGCTTTGACTTGGGACTGGTTTTTGATGATGTTTTTGCTTGCTTCCACCTTGTTTCCGTATGCTTATTGAACTCTGTGATTTTGAAGCAGTTTGTTAGAGCTTTTTGTTATCCCGGATTATATCTCAGTATAATCCGGATTATTCTTTAAGTTACGTTTTTTGCACACCACTTGCTGCAAACTCTTGGTTATTGCTAGGAACACTGAGTTAAGTGTTCCTAAGCTATTTTTGTTGTGTTAATAAACATTGTTTGAACTTTTACTTTGTGTCTGGCTCCTCTAAGGCATCTGCTTCACGACACAGATTGTTAACTCCTTGCAGAGTATTAATTTTAAGATGGATACTTCTGAGGCTTTATAACATTTGGGTTTGCATGGTGTTAAAGTTGGAACCTATTCATTTCAGATTGGCATGGGTGTCCCATACTTCAGTCAGCGAATGACCTAGGAACTAGGTAGTTGGATTGTAAGAGCTTTTGAGGAGTTAATACAATGCAGATGCATCAATGGAAATCCAGCAAGGTGAAAGTAGAAGCAATAGAAAGGCCGGTAGGCAATCCAGAAATCACTCAGCAAGTCAGTAGTCCAGATAAACAAAGTCAATAAGAAAGGAAACAGAATTGTATATGGTGGCCAGTCCAAAGCCAGGACAGGAGATTGACCTGGGAACTTGCTTTCACTTATAGAGCCCTTGGACTTGAGTAGGAGTGTCCTAGGTTTATCTTTAAATAAATAGGTAAGGGGGGAACAACCCTATTGTTGGACTGTCCTCATGGCTTAGATGTTTCATCCTATGGAATACTAAGGAATTTGTCAAGAGTTCAACTGGCCTCAACTGGACCCACAATAGGTTCATCCCCAATCTAGTTTCTTTCCAGATCCAATGCAAATGGAATTGATTTAAAGCCAAATAACATAATCCTCATTTAGCTCATCTTTCTGTGTCTTGTTTCACTATTCCATAGTTGGTAAGCAAATTGACATGCTAAGCCTAACTCAACAACACAAAGGTTCAAATAGATTCTTGAGAGAGGTTCAATTAGTTTCAGTAGCTTCAAACTAATGACATGATTTCTGATCCCTTTACCTCTGCATGTCACATTTCTCCAAATGTTTAACACTTGTGTTTGTGGCTTGACCTCCACCTCAGAGCCATTTGGAATATTCTCCTCAATTCTGTCAAAGGGCCTTCCACACAGCCATATAACCCAGAATATCAAGGCAGAAAATCCCGCAATATCTGCTTTTCACTGAACCCACTTCCACACAGCCAAATAAAATCCCACATTATCTGTTTTGTACTGGAATATATGGCAGTGTGGACTCAGATAACCCAGTTCGAAGCACATATTGTGTGTGCAGTAATTCTACAGTGTATATCCACTCTATGCTAGAGTAGTAACAAAAGACTCATGTATTGCATTATAATAGTGGCATATTTTATTCTATGGAAAGCTCTACCCTTGTTACATCATTAGTTTCCTGCATAAAGAATAAGTTGGTTAACAAAATAAAAGTAGAAAATAATCACATTTTCACCAAACAGTTTGAATTCTTATCAGCTTTGATCAGACAGAATAATACATTCTAAAACAATGAGATCAATAATGGCATACATAAAATCAGCTTATACTGGACAAATTGTTATTCTATTTTAACAATCTAGAATAAGCAACACAAAGCTTTTTAATACTAGAATCGTTGTAATCACAGGATGGACTGAAAATAAAATTTTAGCAAGTAAAAACTCTTAGGCTTAAATTTTAGTCTGGCATATTAAAAGCAGTTGCAACAATTTAATGGTGTCCATATGCAGAACTGTAATTCTCATTCTACCTATCTGAGACTGGGAGCAGGGAAAAGAAATGGATTTAAATGGCAGTGTAGAGTCATGCAATCTATTTCAATGCATTAAACTGCATTCTGAAATTGCAGTATATGTCCGTGTGGATGGGGCCTGAACCACTCCTAAAAATTCCACAGAAATTTGTGTAGTTCTCATGGGACATTCTGCCCCTAACTATATGTGATCAACATGAAATGACTGAGTCAATTTAGCTGCCATGCTTTTAGAAATAACTTGTCAAAAGAGAAACAAAAGTAAACACTTGGGCATCTCTTCTTTAAAGGCCAGTCTACTCCTGCCAAAAAATGCAGAGAATTCTGCTAGAAAACTTGATATTTCTCCTTTATGGGGAAATATATAGTGTTCTCATGCATATGTAACACATGGATTCATATATATATATATTGGTAATACCAGCCTGACCTTATAGTTGCTGTATTTTGGGAATGTATCCAGGCACCAACAAGCAAATGCTGGTCCATACACCTACTCAGAAGAAATCTGAGCTTGATTAAGTCTACAATTACTCTCTATGCTATGACTTTAATAAAGTCATTGGCCTGTGATTTTGGTTAGCATTCAAGCACTGAACACACGATATCTGACCTAGAAAAATAACCTGAAAGTGTTTATAGTCTTGTAAAAATGCCTTGGCTTAAAATCACTATTTTCTCATTGAAAAAGTACAGCTACCTGCGCACTTAAGTGAAACTGAAACTAGCAGCATTCTTGGCTGCTTTTTTATTTATTTAAAACCCAGATTCATTGGAATAGGAGCATGTCTAGAACACTTGCTAAGTAATCCTTGAACAATAATGCTATTGGCAGCAATCAGCAGTTTTAAATTCAACAAATGCATACACAGATTGACTAAGAAAAAAGACAAATCTAGAATATGCACCAGGCAACTGTTATATCATAGAAAATAATAATTATTTTCAACAATACTGCTTAAAATTTTGAATATGACTCCAATCACATTTAGGATTTTAGGATTTTATAGCACCATTAAAATGAAGTATATGGTTTGAAAATGGGAGTGGGGGTGAAGAAAGAAAAGGAAAGGTTTAGCTTTAATTCAATTATTTTCAGCTAAAAAGATGTTGGATGATTGTAGACTGGTCTGAACAGAACTGAGGTGACATCCAGCCCATCACATTTACTTGAAAATAAACCTTATTGTGCTCAATGAAAGTTTCTTCCAAGTCAGTTTCTTTAATTGTGTCCTAAAGAAATTTTAAAACATATAATCATTGCCATAAAGCAGAAACTAATGGGAAAAAATCTTGCAAAATATAAAACTTTTATAGATGCTGTTGCTTAAGAAAGGAACTTAAGTATCAACTTCAACATTGGCAGAATGGACACATTTATGGCAAGATGGCTAACAACTGAAGAAAGTGATTGTGTGATTATGCCAACCCTGATTAAACGAAAGTATTGTTTGAAACAGATCCTGTTAGGTATATCTGCAACAATAGACTTGGTGAAATGTCAGAACTGATAAGAGAAGTAGTTCTTCACAGTTACCCTATAATACCATGCTCATACCAGCACATAATACTGTAAGTCATGGACACCGGATCTGATCTGCATATACCCTTTTGTTTTTCACTGAACATTGACTGCAAAGTGCCAGGATTTATTTTCCATATGCTGTTTAGATTCCTGTGTTGTCATAAGAGAGTTCAATGGTGATGAAGGGCAGATCCAGAAATACCAACCTGTTCTAATTATAGCCAAGGAAAAATGGGAGGGATGCTAACACCGCTATCATCACCACATTAACACCACTGTCATGCAAGATTAAGAACACTGGCATTTAATGCAAGAGATTGGGGCTTTATTTATTTATTTATCGTGTCATCCGCAACCAGACCATTGTATTACATTTCTAACAGAACAAAACAAACAAACTGTTGTGAGAAGACACCAATGGTAGCCCACAAAAGAGTAAAAAACTTAAGAAACTTTCTGGTTCATGCAGATCTTACTATACCCACTACAACAGATAGTACAAATTTAAAAGGACATTATCCATGTGACCACTGTAATCATTGAAAACAATCCCTAAGAATTAAACAAGATTCATATCCTGAATTACATCTGCACATCACACAGAGACACTTCACCACATGTGCATCCAAAATGTTATATATGTGATTATATGTCTATGTAAATTGTTATACATGGGTATGGCTACTAGGGCCTTGTAAACACAGATTCATGAACACCTATCCAGAATCAAGAATGGATGCACTGACATTTTTTTTAAAAAAGCTCATTCTCATGAGAGTTTTAAGTTCTTTGTGATAGAGAAAGTAAAGCCCATTGGAGATACTTCTTCTCCAAAGGGAGATGTTCTGGACCTTTAAACTGAACTCTGTATTCCCTAAAGGACTGAATGATAGACTTGACTTCACCTGTTTTTTTTAGTTTAGGAGAGTATTTTAAGACATAAAATACTCTTCCAAACTTGAAAGAACTAATAGAGCTCTGCATGTATAAAGGCATGTAAGTTAGTTATATTTCTTTATATTTTTGTATACTAGATAAAGGGTTTGTATAACATATGGTGTGTTTATACATATCTATTCTGGCAATTCGATTGCAGTTACTATCAGTATGTGCCTGTATTTATGTTTAGAAGACAAGTAGCACAGAAAGGCTTTGAACTGGAGCAGAACCAAATAAGTGTAATTAAAATTAAG